ATTAGGAAATACTGCTTGTATGAGTTTTATGCTACTTATTCTCTGCAGACTAAAGATAGAGGTTAATGCTCTTGGATATCTTAAAGTGCGTTTCTTATCGTTGGTAACTTGAAGCTGTTTCTTACTAGTGTGTTTGTGCTTTCTTTCAGGAATCTTCATATTCAGTATTCCATAACCTGCCCCTTTCCCTGTGTACACTGATTTCACTTCTATTGACTTGTCTCCACTTCATTTACAGCAAAGAATCTGTCTACTACTGACTTTCTACTTGATCTTTGAAAAGAGAAATCTATGCATATGTATTTCCATTGAGGAGATACATCTTATTATTATGAAACACTCAGAGATACCTTTTGTGTGAACTGGAGTCTATTACTGCGTGTCTGTCTTCTCCCTGCTCTAGCCGCTAACTTTGTAGCTTTGCCATCTTCATTCAGACGATGGGATTTGATAGACCAGCATGCTGGGTTTTGTTTTCTGATTATTATTGGGTGGTCACTTTTAATTTTAAGGTGGCACACATCCCATAATTGAAGAAAGAGAAAAGAAGATGAAATTGATCCAAAGTAGTGTTTAAGCTCTCTAGTGGTTTGAATAAATACTTGCTTTGCTTAATATTTTCAAAAGTTCATAATATTTAAGGAATACTAATATTTCCATTAATCCAGCCCCAAAATAACTTCATTTCTATCTCATTAATGCTAGATCTTGAAAAGCTTTGCTCAGCTAATATGACTCTTGCCTTCTTTTATTTGTGGTACAATTTTTTAACAAAACCCTTTTGTTACACAGCAACTATTCCATTTTTATTGTGAGGTAAAAATAACTGCAGCATTTAAAATTTTCATAGTTTCTATATTCTTGGAAAGAATATGTTTATTTTATTGTCACTCAAAATCTGGTAATACTTTTTGTTATACATTTACTATATTGCATTGATACCTAGAAAATTATGACTCAAATGCAATGCATATTTTAATTAAACTTGACTCATATCAAATACTATGATATTCTACCATTAGTGTAACAATTTGTTGGTACATCCTTTTTAATATGTGATACTTTCAATATCTCAGTGAAACTATTTAAATTGAATACACCTATAAAACTGAACTTTATGTCACTTAAACTTCCACAAATTTTAGTAATTTCAGATATGACCATATTGTGATGCTCTTTCCTCATACTTACATAGAAGGGCAAGGCAAACATAATATATAATTAGCATTGCAATGTCACAGGCTGTCAAATGTAGGTTGATTTGTGAAAATTAAAGTTGTACAAAATGATATCATATAATTTTCTTTTTTAAGTCTGCATTTGGTTTCAACACTTCAAATGAATAAGGGATTTATAGCACTATTTCATTAAGAAATAGATTATCTGAAAGTGACATTTTATTGACTCAGCTAACATTTGTTGTTTAAGGAACCATGCAATGTTATGCTTTTCAGGCTCTTTTG